TTCTCTGGTGGGCAGCAAGGCCTAGAGACCCAGCCTACACTAAGGGGAGGCCTTCTATGGGCTCTAAAATCTGTCTCCATGTACCAGACCCAGTTACACCCGTCTGCCTCCCATGAGGCCTCTCCTCTGCCTGGGACAGCCCCCTCTCAGTCCCTGAGCACCACACAGAGGAGGCAGCATGGCCCAATGGTCTGGAACGTGGCCTCTGGGTCACACAGGCTGGCTTCAAACCTTAGTTCTGCCTTTCACAGTTGTAACTGGGCAAACTGCATAGCTCTCTGTGCCTATAAAATGGGTCTAAGCCTTCAGAGAGGGTGAAATGAGGATTAAGAATACAGTATGTGTGAAGTCTGTTAGCAAAGGGTCTACCTGACACACAGAGGGATTCCCTCTGTGCAGTGAAATCCCATTTAAAATTCAAAAAAACCTATAGATACATAAATATGGGCCAGCAGCGTATAATACAGCCAAAGAGCCCAATCTTTTCCTTTTCCTTTCTTCTTCTTCTTCTCCTTCTTTTTCTTCTTCTTCTTTTCTGGGGGCGGTGGGGATGGGGGGTTCTGTAACCTGCTGCAGGAGCTCCAGCCAGGTAGTAAACCCCGCCTGCTGTACCCCACCTGAGCTGGCTTGAGTAGGGCTCTGTTTCATGTCATCAAAAGAACCCTGCCCAGAACAGGCTTCCTCTTCCCTTTGTTCATCCCCAACTGCAGCCAAACAGAACTTGATCTCAGCCTTGAGCTTTCATTCCATGCTCCTATCCTTTCCAAGAACAGTACTGTCCGCCTCACCCCTCCATCCATCCCTCACTTTTCAGGGCCCTCACTCTATACCACACCTCTCCAAAACCTTCCCCACTTGGCCACAGAACCTTCCTGCTCCACCCGAGGCCCAATGCCGCCCGCTGGTGCCTCTCCTGTAGAAACACCTGCCCAGGCTGCATCCTTGAACAGTCCCCGGCCCTGGGCAAAGCCCTCATCCTCTTGGAGCTCTTTCCTCCTGTCTAGAAGGGAGACCCCACTGCCAGTGGGGCCTCTTGACCAAAATTACTGTGAAGCACAAACCAGGAAATGTGTGCAATGACTCTGCAATCTTCAAAGGGCTTTCCAAACATTCGAGCACTTTCCCAAGAAGCTCCAAAGAAGGTAAAGGAATTTGAAGATGAACATGTAAGCCCTTTATGTGACATCATTCTGTCTCTTTACAATCCCCTGAGAACTCTGAAGAACAGGAAATTGCAAGGGGCCCCACAAATCCACCAGCCACACAAGACAAGCTCCGGAAGTACCTGGAGGCCAAACCTCTGCCTCACAGGGGCAAAGACAGCACCTCTGCTTTCTGACAGCCTTGAGACTCTGTGTCCCTGGAGCATTCGCTTCTAGGACTTGGAACACACAGTCTCTCCGAGTCTGCCCATAAATCTGGCTTTTAAATGTTCTGTGGCCCGTAATAAATAATTTACATAAAGGGCCGGTTGGATGGAGCACAGCAGGAAACAAGAGGGGGAAAAAACACAAAGCAGTAGCCCAGATTTAATTTGAGCAGCTAAAGTGCTCAGAGAAATCATCAGACCACACTGAAAGGAACAGAGTCATCTTTGTATAATTCCCTTCGCTCTCTGCGGAAAATCATGATGGAGAGGGCCTGTAAATTAACGGCACCTTCAGCTAATTTTACATGACACAGATACAGATGATTTTATTTTTCCTAATTGTGGAAAATAATGAAATCTCCTTTCCCTCCTGCCATCCACGTTCTCTATCCAAAAGTTCCACTAAATTAAAACATTCGGTGGAAAAATAATACTGGGCCATTGTTCTTAAGAAAAAAAATCTAATCACTTTGAATTTAATTCTAATATGCAGAGAATATGAGCTTATCCTGTGTGATGGTACAATGACAAAATGAGTTAATTACCATCGCATCATAAGACGGATCTGCTTGTCATAGAAACGGGAGCCATTATTTCACACAAAATAATGACCCAGATGAAAAGGAATGACTAAGCTGTAGTCGCCAGTGGCACAGCTTCATCTTGGCCTAAGTGAATGGCAATTAACAAGTGTCACCACTCTCTCTCTATACAAATAGGGACCAGACTGTTCATTAAATATTTACTGAAAAGACACAAATGGTTTTTAGTATATTTCTTCCCAGGAAGCTCTCAGGGTCTTCTACCTGTGTGATGACAGAAAAAGTTACACATGTGTAAAATTCTGCCATCAGTTGGAATAGCTGTTGATCCTACAGAGGGGCATTCGGTTCCCCTCTGGTCTTTGCACACGGAAGTGGTGTCTTCTCCAGAAATCTTGTCCAACAACAGAAAAGAGGAGCAGAGGGAAGGAGGCCCAGACCCATCATTTTGTCCCTCTTCTGGTTGTCACTGCCACTGACTGAGAAACTAAAGCCACACCTTGCACCAATGACCAGAAATGCTGGATCCTTCCAGGTCTGGCCCTCAGCCACACTGGACAGTGAGGGACAAATGGCGGGACGATCTCAACACCCCTGAGTCGCTGGCGGGAAACTTTACCTGCACCTGCTGGCCATGATCATGAACCACCTCTCTACTGAGAGGAACAGAGGCAAGAGGTTCTGGGATACACATAAGGAGACAAACTCCAGGTTAGAAATCTCTTATTGTGCAAGTTGGCTAGTCTGTCTGGACCCAATGCTTGTTGTTTGAAAACCAGGGTTATTGCAGGAGCAGGATGGCACTGTGGGCTTTTTAAGGTATATAATTTTCAAAGTGCTAAAAACATAATCCTTATACAAACATAGAATGAGCAGGTGTCAATGCTTTATTTAATTAATTATGAAACGAACTATCGGATACTGATGTGCACACATGCGTGTACACACACACACACACACACACAGATGTCTACCTGCACCACACACACTACACACACCAGTATCTGAGTGCCCACTAATCAGGCTGCTTTCTCCTTAAGACCTGATGTGTGCACAGTGTAATGGGCCAGTCATGCAATGATCTGGTTTGTTAAGACAAAGCTACCAAATCATATGGGTTTTTGTTTGTTTTTTAAAGATTTATTTTTTTAAGGGAGGAGGAGAAGGAACACGTGGGGGTGGGGCAGGGGGAGAGAATCCCAAGCAGGCTGTCCGCTGAGCAGGGAGCCTGACATAATAAGGCTTGATCTCACAACCCATGAGATCACGGCCTGAGCCGAAATCAAGAGTCGGCTGCTCAACCAACTGAGCCATCCAGGTGCCCCTCAAATCACGTGTTTTTAAAAGAGCACACTTGATAGTATGGACAGAGCCTCATGCGCTCATCTGACCCACTTACCCCTCAAATATTCCAAGCATCCCAGTCTTGACTACAAGCCTATTTCTAAAACGATTTTTCCCCAGTACTCAGATCATGGGGTAAGTTCTACCTCTAACATATAACTACCCAAGTTTATTAGAACATTTTATCTGCATCAATCCAGAAAAGAGGGCCCTATTTATATAGACATCTACATGACTTATACAAAAGTTGTGTTGTCAGGCTTATGCATGTGTGAAGAAAAAATGCCCTTCTCCCCCCATTCCTTAAGTAATGATGTGAATTCCACCAGAGTAGAGTCTCCATTGTCCTAGTAAAATGATCAGAAATGTTGACCTACGAGGTCATCTGACTCCCAGTCTCCAGGTCTTAACACCCCCCCATACACGAGGGGGGTTATTCCTAGGGCCTTGTTGAGCCTGAACATTCAATCAACGTTGAAGGGAGAGAGACAGGAAGGGAACAACAACAAAAGTATCATTGGGTGTTTAAAGAGACAATCTCATTATTTCACTCTTCTGCAAAAATCCTCTGAACAGCCCCCGCTGCATTTACAGCACAGTCCTGGCCCCTCCTCCCATCCCTTGCACTCCCTGTCTCTCCCAAAGCTTCTCTGATCTTTTGACTCCCCTCTCTCGCTCCTGCACCAGGCCCTCACACATGCTGCTCCCTTTGTTTGGAGGGCTCCCCAACCTCCCCTGTGCAGCCCCATCACCAGGTCACTCCTCCTCATTCTTTCTGTCTTGAAACGAGGGACCTCCCTGATAGCCAGACCACGTGGTGTCTGCTTGTTCCTCCGCCCAGCTGCCTCCCTGCTGGTAATGCTCATTCCACTCCTCCAGGGTTTGCCTTCCAGGTGTGAGGACATGAGGGCAAGGGACTACAGCCCTTTGGTTCTCTGTGTCCAAGCGCCAAGCAGGCAAGGACTGTTTCTGGCCCAAAGTTGATGGCCAACACTATTTATTAATGAATTCACTAATGGACAGACTGGATCTCAAACAAAACATCATCAGCTCTATAGGATAGGGAACTGACAATTATTGTGGAAGCCTGGGTGAGAGAGAACAAGGTAAACATTAAGGAATGAACTTAGCCCCACTTTGGGCAAGGACATTCCTTCTGCAGCATATGTCATATTGAAACTCAAGTGAACCTTGCAATGAGGCAGGAAACCTCACAGGGCACAAAGAAAAGTTCAAAACCAGATACATTTCCGGGTGGAGAATGATTCTCCTGTAACTAGGCAATTGTAGCTGGTATAACTGCATGCCAGTGGCCACAGGACTCCGGAGTGCTCTCACACTAGGAAGAAAGGTGGCTCGTGGCAATGAAGACCCACAGGACAAGTGGAAGGTGGGACCTGGGCTGGGGGTGGGGGTCACACCATCTTGAAGGTTTGAAGGGAGTCCCAGCACTGGGCCTACAGGCCTGTCAGCTATTAATGCCATTCCAGCCTTAAAAGACAAGGTCCAGGGTCCCGCCTGCCTGGAAAGGGGGGAAGCTACCTTGTTCCTGAGTCATCTTCAGCCTGAGCAATGTATGTATGTGGTGGGGGGGGTTGCCCCCCTGTGGGGCTGCCCAAAGACCCAGGCCCAAGGAGGCACTGGCTCCTGTCCCAGCCCGTGGAGTGTGGCCAAACTGCCCCAAGCCAGCCTCCCCCAGTTTGCACTGCAAACCTGTCCAACTGTCTCCTCACTACAGTGCTTACCTTCTTAATGAACTCTGGGATGAGTTTTTGGCCTGTCAGGTGGTCTAAGGAGGAACAGCAATCTAATTCCAAGATGTAGCGTTCATTGTGAAGATCACTTTTCTGAGATCTGAAGAGAGGAAAAAAACACACAAAGATTAAGATTTTGGACTATATATATATATATATATATATATAGTGTGTGTGTGTGTGAATATATATATGTGAATTATTGGGTATTTAATGAAACCCCAAATTCTTTCCTGAAAGTAAATGTCAAAAAAGGCACTGCTGAAAAATAACTGATAGTAAAACTCAAATTTTTATATACGTATGTATATAAAATTATATACATCATGGAAAGACTCCAAGACATAGTATCAAGGAAAACACACCATTATAGAAATTTAGGACAATATAGCTTATGCATTAAACAACACACACACACACACACACACTTTCATAATGTTTATTTCCCATGGGTTTGTATTTGCCAAGACACAAAGAGGCAGACCAAACCACTAACAGCATTTACCTCTGGGGGATGGAGAGGGTCTGCCTGGGAACTGGATCTAGGGGTGGTAGTGGTGACTGAAAGTGGCTTTAGCTATATCCGTAAATTTTTTTCACTTTTTCTGAAAAGAATATATTCTAATAAGCATTTAGAAAATTAAAGTGAATATGAAAAGACTTTTAAAAGGTTCAACCCTTACAGAAGGCAATCTGGCAAAATCTATCAAATTAAAGATGCATTAAGAAAAGAATATAAGGCAGCTAAAGTTCTGGGGAAAGAGTGGGTATAAAGGTTGTTTGGGGCAAACAGCTGCAGGGTTCTGGTCGGTGCAAAGGTGTCCAGCGTGGTCCGGCCATCTCCTCACACAGGTGGCACAGCCGCTTTCCTCTCTCCCATCAGGTAGATGTGCATATGATGTGACACTATGCACATTCAGGAGAGCCAGCAGCAAGTGATCACCAGAAGGAACTCTCACCACTTGACGCCATTCCTTTGAGGGGCTCCCATATGACACTTATGTGGGCCTGAGGAACTCCTGAAAGCCATATGATTCTCAGAAATGGAAGGTGATTCCTTGGCCCACCCAGCCACGCATAAGGCAAGAGGAAACGGATTGCCGCTAAGTGTCAGCAGAACATGTACTCTCTCTCTCTGGGTAGCCAGCCAGTCATGGGGATCAGGACTTAGGAACCAGGGTCCTGAGCTCTGTCCAGGGTTTCCAGCACAAGCACAACCACTCCCCACTGGCCAAGGGGCAAGCAGGGCTTTCTCAGCCCACTTATGAGGAGCTCTACCAAAGAGGGGCCATGCCAGCCCCTCTAAGAGCAGGCATGGCCAGAAAATTCTTAAAGTGGGCACTTTCACACCAAACTCCTAATACACATATATCCTACCAAATAAGTGGTTTCTGAATGTATATTTGCTATATTTTAAAAATGAATTTCTAAGATTCTTATATATCATTAAAAGCAATTTACATTACCATTAACCATCTGGGTATGATTTATGTGAAATTCAAAAGTGAAAACATTTTAAAGGGGCATTTGGTTTTTCCCAGGTGTGCAACTGTGATTGGGTAAGCAAACATCAATAACATATTTTGGTTTTATTTTTCCTTCTAACATACCTTTCAGGAGTAGGGACTGAGGCACATACTTTTAAAATGTAAAGGAATAAACGGATTCCAAACTGGTCAAACTGGAATAAACTAACTCTAAAAGAAGAAACCAGTTCTCTGCCTCAGACTTCTTGCATTAAAACTTCATCAGACTAGATGTGTGTTCTCATTTTTTCCCCACATTCTCATCCTCTACCACCCCCAAACAAAAGACATATTAAGAGGAACGAAAGCAGAAGATTTCAGACTTTTCAAAGAGAAGACTTGGTCATGACATACTGTCATGGGTATTTGTGAGGTCTCAAACAACGAAGACAGGCGTGGGAGGAGAGTGTTCTAAGATGTGAAATCCCAGCTGCTCTGTCACATGAAGACAAATGTCAGACCATGTGAGGTTATTTATAAACACCCACTGAGATTTTAAATGAGTAGGTTGAAAAACAGTAATTTTAAATAAGTCGACACTGTATCTACTCAGTAAAACACTCATAAAATGATTGGAGTCTGTCTTTAAGCAACTTACACCCCAGATTCATAAGGAATAATCCTTAATACAGGATCTAATAACTACCATCTTTGGTTCTAGAACAAGAAATACTATAGGAAGGAAGGCAGCTCTGATTCATTTCATCAGATAATTTATTTGGTTATATCTGAACTGAAAGGAGCATAAAATACCTACAAAAATGGGTATTATTACAAATTTTCTAGATGAAACATGAAAAATCACATCCTGACTTATAGTCTTGGCAAAGCAAATCCAATGGCTACTGAGGGAATAGATGAGCAACTAATAGGTATTCCCCTGCCTTTAGGAATTAGCTCCACAATTTAACCACAGTAAATATGGCTGCTGTGGTGAACACACCTTAAGGTGACCCCTTCCTCCCAATATTCCCCACCTGCTGGTGTTCGTGACCTTGTAAAACCCTCCCCTTGAGTGAGAGTAGGACCTGCATTTTGCTTCTAACCCATCAGAATATGGCAAAAAGGATGGGGTGTCACCCCTGTGATTACGCTATCCTGTAAAGCTCCATTTTAGCAGACTGGAGCTACATACTCGTCTTGCTGGCTATGAAGAAGTAAACTGCCATGTTATGAAAGGGCCACGTGGCAAGGAACTGTGGACAGCTCCTGGCCAACAGTTGGCAAGAAACAGGGATTTCAATTCTATGGCTGCAAAGAGATGAATTCTGCGAAGAACCTAAGGGAGCAGTGGAAACAGATCTTTCCCCAGTTGAGCCTCTGTTGAGACCACAGCCCCAGCCAACACCTATACTGCAGCCTGATGAGACCTGATGAAAAGACCCAGATAAGCTACAGAAATTGTGTATGATAAATACATGTTGTTTTGAACCACTAAATTTGCAGCAATTTATTACAGAACATAGAAAAATAATACAGTTGTTGAGTAGGAAGAGACATGGCAGCCTCATGTTCAAAATAAGCTTCCCACCAGTGATCAAGTGTAGGTCCAGGCCCACAAGATCCATTCAGAACACTTGAGACCAGCCTGAAAGCAGTCACTGACAGGTGATGAGTGTTCCATGTCTCTGAGGACAAGGACCACCCTGGGAGAGAGAAGCAGACACCCAACAGAAGTGGCTCCAGGGGCCAGGCTGTGGCCCTCCAAGGGATCACATCAGGAGGGAATAGATACTCTGTAGTCAATCAAGTTCCTAAGGAAGAAGCATTAACATGAAATCTCAGCTGAGAAGGCATTTGCCACCCTCCTATGAGGGAGGGGAAACATCGCTTATGTTTCCCCAAAGGCCATGTCCTTGTGTTATTCTGGAAAAGGAAATGAGAAACCATCAGACTTCCCCTGGACTGAAGCTGTGATGGTTTCCACTTCTGGAAAGAACAGAGCTATTTGGGTTAAACAATAAAAAAATATGCACAGAATGCATTTCTGGAGATGCAGGATTAACTACCTAAAGCCTCCATCATCTAGAAGTTAACACCAAATACTCTGAAATTAAATGTGAGCACTCTAAGAAGAGCACTGCTAACAATGAAATATACTTCACCACCTCCCTCTATGGTCTATTCCACAATTTTCTCCAGATTTGTCAGTTACAGGCTACAGGTGCTAAATCGAACTAGAGGTGAATCAGTGAGAACTAGAGGTCAATGACACACCACTAGTTCACTTTGGACAATTTAAACCATCTCTAGGTGACTTTGGACAATTTATTTAAACTTTCTGTGTCTCAGTTTCTTTCACTGCTAAATGGGAATATTATGAATAGCTGTCTCTTAGCATCATTGTAAGGACTAAATAAGACAAAAGCACAGGGTATGGCAGGAGGTCTGGGCTCAGCGACATTAGCCACTGCTGATCTAGTGACTACCATCTATAACTGCATTCTTTATTTTCCAAACACTCTTCACAGTTCATAATTATTCATTTGATAAATACTGACCACAACTACTACTGTGTGCCAGGCACTATTCTTTAGCATATATCAATAGACAGAGAGGCAAAGATCTCTTCCCTCATGGAGCTTACAGTCTAGTGGAGGGGGATAGGCAAAAAACAAAAAACATACATGAGCATATAATAATATGTTCAGCAGGGGTAAGTATAGAAGAAAAAAGAAACAGCAAGGTGAAGAGAATCAGGAGTGTGTGAGAAGAAGCTGCTGCAGTTTTGTTGTTGTTGTTTTAAAGACTTATTTATTTTATTTATTTTTTTTTAAAAAAGATTTTATTTATTTGACAGAGAGAGACACAGCGAGAGAAGGAACACAAGCAGGGGGACTGGTAGAGGGAGAAGCAGGCTTGGAGCAGGGAGCCCGATGTGGGGCTTGATCCCAGGACCCTGGGATCATGACCCAAGCTGAAGGCAGATGCTTAACAACTGAGCCACCAGGTGACCCAAGACTTATTTATTTTAGAGAGAGAGAGAGCATGAGCAGGGGGAGAGGCAGAGGGAGAGGGAGAGAGAATCCTCAAACAGACTCCCCACTGAGCTTGGAGCCCAGTGCAGGGCTTGTTGCAGGGCTCCATCCCAGGACCCTGAGATCATGCCCTGAGCTGAAATCAAGATTTGGCTGCCCAACCAACTGTGCCACCCAGGTGCCCCTAGAAGCTGCAGTTTTAACGAGGATGGTCTGGGTGGCCTCACCGAGAAGGTGACATTTAGAATAAAGACCTACGGGAAGTGAGGGAGTTGGCCATGCTGATATCCAGGATGAGAGCTTCCAGGCAGAGGGAACAGCCAGTGCAAAGGCCCTGAGGCGAGATAATACAAAGAGGCCCTGTGGCTGGAGCTCAGTGAATAAAGGGCAGAGGAAGAAGAGAAGACACGGCCAGAAAGTCAATGGGGAACAAGGTAATGTAGACCTTACAGGCCATACTGAAGATGGTAGTTTTTACACAGAAAGACAGGGGAAGCACTTGGAGAGTGTTGAACAGAGAAGTAACATGATCTGGTTTATTTTACAAGGCTCCCTCTGGCTATAGGAGGCAGCTAAAAGACTAACTCAGTGGCCCA